AGCTTCTTGGATTATTTGCTCAGCATACAGATTGGACAAATATGGTGAAAGGCTACAACCCTGATATACTCCTTTCTTGGTTTTAAACCATGCAGTATCCCCTTGTTCTGTTCAAACGACAGCCACCTGGTCTGTGTACAGGTTCCTCATGAGCACAGTTAAGTGTTCTGGAATTCCTATTCTTCTCAATGTTATGCATAATTTGTTTTGATCCAGACAGTCAAATGCTTTTGTGTAGTCAATAAAACACAAGTAAACATCTTTCTGGTATTCTCTGGTATTCTCTGCTTTCAGCCAAGATCTATCTGATATCAGTGATATCCCTCATTCCACATCCTTTTCTGAATCCAGCTTGCATTTCTGGACGTTCTCTGTCAGTATACTGCTGTAACCATTTTTGAATTATATTCAGCAAGATTTTACTTGCTGTGTGATATTAATGATATTGTTTGAAGATTTCCACATTCTGTGGGATCACTTTTCTTTGGAATGGGTATGAATATGGATCTTTTTCAGACAGGTGGCCAAGTAGCTGTCTTCCATATTTCTTGGTATAGATGAGTAAGTGCCTCAATGGGTATTGCATTAATTCCTGGAGCCATAGTTTTCACCAGTACTTTTGGTGCAGCTTTGACATCTTCCTTTAAAACCATTGGTTCTCAATCATATGTCACCTCTTGAAATAGATAAAAATCGACCAGTTCTTTTTGTACAGTGACTCTCTGTATTCCTTCCATCTTCTTTTGATGTTTCCCTCTTCATTCAGTATTTTGCCCATACAATCTTTCAGTATTGCAATTTGAGGCTTGAATTTTTCCTTCAGTTCTTTCAGCTTGAGAAGTGCTGAGCATGTTTGCCAAAGGGGCAAGGAGGCTGCATCTTCCAACCTCCTCTAACCGCATAAGAGGAAGACAGAATCACTGTCAATAGCCCAAGGCCTATTCCTGTGAGGCCAGACATGCCGCCTCCCTCCAGCCCTTTCACCAGTCCTGACACCAACTGTTCCTCCTGCAGCACCCACCACCTTTCTGCTGGGTTTGATAATTCGCTGTAGTGGCCACATAGAACTTACAGATTATGGGGTTTATTAGGGAAGCACCAGGCTACAATTCAAGTTCAGAAACAATGCTTAGTCTCTCTTGGCCCGCCATCTCTCAGCCAACAGTCTCTCTCAGTTTCTCTCCCAGCAGTGCGTGTCTCTCAGTGTCTCTCTCTTAGCAATGCACGTCTCTCGGTGTCTCTTTCTCAGCAGCACATGGCTCTCAGGAACACATGTCTCTAATAAGCTTGTCTTTCTCAGCCAGCAGTCAGAGAGACACCTGCCTCTAGCAGGGCTCCCTTCGAGCTTGGCAGAGTGGCCAAACTAACCAATCATAACATCAGAATTCTAAGCACCTGAGAGAGAGCAGACTTCCCAGAACATTGCTTTGTGGCACTCTCAACAGAAATACCCCAGATGAATAACTTTAACAATCAGGAACTCCTCAGTTGCTCATGGCAAATTCCACCATAGAGTTTACAAAAAGACTTATGGCTAGAAAAGCTATACCATGTAATTTACTACACTGCAATGTTCTTACCTTTTGGTTTTCTAACTCCAGGTCTTCGCACATTTCATTATAATAATTGACTTTTTCTTCTCGAGCTGCTCTTTGGAATCTTCTGTTCAGCTCTTTTATCTTGTCATTTCTTCCATTTGTTTTAGCTACTCTCTGCTCAAGGGCAAGTTTCAGAGTCTGTTGTGACATCCATTTTGGTCTTTTATTCCTTTCTTGTCTTTTTAATGACCTTTTGCTTTCTTTATGGATGATGTTCTGATGTCATCCCACAATTCCTCTGCTTTTGTATCAGTGGTGGTCAATGTGTCAAATCTGTTTTTCAAATGGTGTCTAAATTCAGATGGGATCTAATTAAGGTTCTATTTTGGCTCTTGTGGACTTGTTTTAATTCTCTTCAACTTCAGCTTGAACTTGCATGTGGACAGTTGATGGTCTGTTCCACAATCAGCTTCTGGCTGATTGTGATTCCATCACCTCTTGCCATAGATGTAGTCAGTCTGATTCCAGTGTATTCCATCTGGTGTAGTCCTCATGTATAGCCACTGTTTGTGTTGTTGAAAAAAAGGTATGTGCAATGAATAAGCCGTTGGTCTCACAAAATTCTATCATGTGCTGTCCACTGTAGTTTCTATCACCAAGGCCATGTTTTCTAACTACTGTTGATTCTTCTGTGTTTCAAACTTTTGCACTCCAATCACCAGTGATAATCAATACGTCTTGATTGCATGTTTGGTCAGTTTCACACTGCAGAAGTTGATAAAAATCTTTAATTTCCTCATCTTTGGCTTTGGTGGTTGGTGCATAAATTTGAATAATAGTAGTATTAACTGGTCTTCCTTGTAGGTGTATGATATCATCCTATTGCTGACAGCATTGTACTTCAGGATAGATCTTGAAACTTTTTTTTTTTGTGACAGCAAATACCATACCATTCTTTCAATTTGTCTTTCCCAGCACAGTAGCTCATATGGTTGTCTGATTCAGAATGGCCACAACCAATCCATTTCAGCTCACTGATGCCTAGGAGTTCGATCTTTATGGGTTCTTTTTCCTTTTTTAGAACTTTGAATTTTCCTAGGTTCATACTTCATACATTCCATGTCCTGATTCTCAGTGGACATTCACAGCTGTTTCTTTCCATTTTGAGTTGAGCCACATCAGCAAATGTCTCAAAAGATTTACTTCATCCACATCAAGGTCAACTCTACTTTGAGGAGGCATCTCCTCTCCAGTTGTATTTTGAGTGTTTTTCAACCTGCGTGGCTCATCTTCCAGTGGTATATTGGACATTTTTTTCAGGACTATTCATAATGTTTTCCAGTAAAATATCAGACAGTATTTCAATACTGTTCATAAGGTTTTCACTGGCCAATGCTTTGAGAAGTGGATGGACCCTTCCTTCTTCTGAGTCTGTCATAGTCTGGAAGCTCCGCTGAAGCTTGTCTACCATGTTTGACTCTGCTGGTGTTTGAAATAGCGGTAGCAAGCCTCCAGCCTCACAGCAACACAGAAGCCACCACAGTACAACAAACTGACAGACAAGTGGTGAATGGTACTTTATAGAGTTAAGCAGATATTTGTAGTCTCAGTCATACTTGCTGATTGTTCGTTGGCTTTTATCTTTGAACAAAGTTGTATTTCTCTATATTTTTGATTATTATTACAAGAGATTCAATTAAATATGTGCCATTGAAAATCTGATAACCTTTTCTTCTCTTTAACAAATATTATCCCCTAAACTCCAGTGATTCCCAATTATCTGTAGGTCACACTTTTTAGCCTGGCATTCTTGTTTGACTTAACAGTTCAAGTTCCTCTCCCACTGTCCTTTTTCATTCACTACTCTGCTGATACTTCTTTATATATCAACTGCCTTTAAGGGATGTAGAATAGGTTAGGATTCTAATAGAAATAATCTGTTTGAAGATTTTCTGTCTGGGAGTAAGTAGACACAGAGAGAAAAACACACAATAGATATAGACCAGTAGTTCTTTGCTGGGGACACTTTACTCCCACAGGGGACATGTGGTGATATCTGGAGATATTTTCGGGTGCCGCTGCTAGGCAGAGGTGAGAGTGCTGCTTTTGGCATCTAGTTGTAGCCAGGGATGTTGCTCATCATCCTGCAATGCACTGGATAGCCCTCCAAAACAAAGCATGCTGAGACTCAGAATATCAATGGGACCAAGGTTGACCTTGATCTAGACTGCAGTGGAGTCCTTGTAACTAAGTAATATAACCTATGGATAAGAGCATGGACTCCAGCCACACTGCCTGAGATTGAATCCTAGCTCTGCTACTTCTGGCTGTGTTACTAAGTCAATAATTACTTTTGTAAATATCAGCACAAAGCTGGTTCATGTGAAGCAGAGGTTAAAGATGTCTCAAATGTCTGACTTTTCCAAACTGTTGTACCATTCCATTATCTCTGACATCAACTACTCCCTCTTCCCTCAGTACTCGTCTTCCCATTTTGGGTTCAGCTGTGTACTACAGTGTGTCACAGAATTCGACAAACTATACTTACAGTCAAATGGTTTTTTAGGGCAGTAATGGTACAACTCAGGATCAGGATCAAGTTGGAAGTAACAGAGACAATACAGAATGCAGTTCTTTGATCAGGACAGCTTCTTCTCACCCTCTGCCACCAGGCCCTCCTGGGCGCCTTCTCAGGGAAGTGTTAGAGCTGTTAGCTCTGTGGGCCCCCCACCACAGCCTCCTGGTTGCTGCCATCTTGCACCATTATTGCTCTTCTAGTGTTGTGCCTATCTCTCTGTCTTCGTGTTACATCTCCTCTCTTTCTCTGTGTGTGTGTGTGTGTCTCCCTTTAAGCCTATCAGAATGGCAAAACTGACCAATCCCCTTGGTGGCCCATAAGCACCTTATTTGCAAAGTCCCATCCAGTCATTGTGTGGGAGTCACAAAGACTATGTATGGGTAGAAGGATCATATTAAGTAATTAACTGCCCTGCAGTTACCTTGGGCAGTTAACCTCTCTGTGCTTCTGTGAAATAGTGATAACAATAATAGTGCCTCCTTTGTAGGATTACTTTGAGGACAGATAAATTAATACATACAAATCTTTTAGAATAATGCCTGAAGCACTGAATAAATATTAATACGTTGTTATCTAAACTTTGGGCTTCAAGGTATTCATTCCTCATACTTTCCTGGCCATGGTTTGGCCTAAGACATCTCTAGACTCACATATTTACTAATCTGAAGAAGCTAAATAATATATTTGCTTTCTCTTATACGCTAATAACAGTATCTTTTCCAGCATGATCATTATACATTGGTTAGGGAAAAACTCTAAGTTTCTATCCTTACATTCTGATGCATATGTTTACCTGTCTATTTATATGTAGGGAGAATGTGGATTGTATTAAACATACCAATTTCTTAAAAACAAAGGGAAAACATCTGACTTTTTTTTTCTAGGCAATTCGAAGTTTCCAAGTAGCCCTTCACATCTATCCAATGAACCCTGAAATATGGAAAGAAGACCTTTCTTGGGCTAGAACACTCCTGGAGCAGCAGAAGGTAGCACAGAGGATTGAAAACAGTGATGCTCCAGCAGAAGTAACACCTTTCCCACCGAAGGCAATTCCTGACTATGACTTCGAAAGTGATGAGATTGTTGCTGTTTGTGCAGCCATTGCTGAGAAACAGAAGACAGTTTCAGCAAATAAAACCATGGTTATTGTGTCTGCTTCTGGGACAGTTGAGACTGTAACTGAGAAGGAGGATTGTGCTTCAACACCGGATGGCTCTGTTTTTATCAAAGCTCGGTGAGGCAATGCACACAGCAGGAAGTATTTGAATCTGAGTTTGTGATTATAACTTCCAGTGTTAGACATAGGGCCATTTACTCTGGAGAAACAGGGCAAAGCTCCTGCTTGTAAAATACTTTTTCAGATGAGGCATATAAGAGTTACATGGTAGAATTATTGTACAGTATTTGGATTGTACTTTGATAAGTTATGGTTTATATGTAAGATTAAATTTCTGAATACAATGTTTTTTGATTAATAAATTTAATCAAAATATCTGAATGGATGCATTTTAAAGATACACAGCTTGTAACATGAATTCATGAGTAAATGAATAACTTGATGGCCAGTGTTATTAAAATGTTGACTTACGGACTTTGTTTCATGATAGGAAGTTTGTGAATTCTTTCTCTCCTAGAAACATGTTGTCCTTTTAATAGTCACTTTTCTGTTTATCTTGCTTCATTACAGTAAGTCTATAACAAGATTTGAATATTTTTGACATTCATTTAGATTCAAAGTAGTCAGTTTGTTATATGTAGAATCTTTGACAGTTTGGCCAAAAAATGCATGCAATTGTATACATATTCTTAACAGTTTTTGAAGTTTCTCTTGAATCTGACTTGTGCTTAAGTTTTTGGCTTTAAACTTATTATAGCAATGACAGTTGCCTCCTTCAGTATTTGTTAAATGTTGAGGTGCTGATGAATGGCAGAATGGTGGTTTTTATTTTTTTAAATTACTACAGTAACTAGAGTAGTCCTTAACCTCAACTCATTTCTAAAATGTGCATTTGTAAAAAGACTTTTATAGATGCAGCATAAGAAACAGTGCTGCTGCACTGTCCAATCAAAGTCAGTACTGTTTTTTTCCCCCTTATTTTTAAAAGCTTAAAAGCTCTGAAAATATTTTATCTCTTGCTTATAACTTTCCATCTGATGCTTTGGAATAACTTTTTCTGAACTGGTCAGTCAAGTGAGAAATACAATTTTAAAGAGCTAAATTAATATAAATATAAAGAATGTTATTAGAGTATGAGTGAGTGAATAACTTAGACACAATATACATGGAAGCTGAAATGCATTTACAGTGAAGGCATACCTCAGGATTACTGCAGGTTGGGTTCCAGATGACCACAATAAAGTGGCTATCACAGTAAAAGTAAGTCACACGAATTTTTTGGTTTCCAAGCATGTGTGAGAATAATGTTTATACTATATTGTGGTCTTTTATGTGTGAAAAAGTTTGAAATATTGTGAGAATTACCAAAATGTGATGGAGAGCCACAGTGAGCACATGCCGTCAGAAAAATGGCGCCAGTAAACTTGCTCAATGCTGGGCTGCCACAGGCCTTTAATTTGTGAAAAACACAGTCTCTGCAAAGTGCAGTAAAGCATAGAGCAATAAAACAGGGCATGGTTGTACAATGCCATGAATAGAGAAGGATATATTAAATATTTCATTGCAAGTCCATAATTACATTCACAAATTAATACTGTCATTGCTAGTATGAATTAGTGTATTTACATTACATATATTTTAGGACAATTAAGTATAGAACTGTGAGATACTCTTATTTCAGACACTCAGGAAGATAGCATTGGGTAAAATTAATTTTATCTTTGTTAGAGAAGAAAGTGAGCTACTTTATGTTTAGGAATTTGATCTAGCCTTGTTGAGTGTGTAATGATCTATGTTTTTAGGAGGTGATTTTTAAAATTTTGTTTTAATAGAATACTTATATCTTTTTCAGTGTTGAAGTCAGCACTTGCTTTGTAAAGTATTATGTTTTTCTCTTAAGTGACATCAAGACATTAGCTATGGTTAGAAGGGTCAGGTTTAGAATAATCAAAAAATAAATATTCTACTTTATTTTGTTTAATAAGTAGAGTCTTCTCAAAGGGGGTAGTTGGGTATCAAGAAAGGTGACCACTCAAAATTTGCTGTGTGGTTTTGATTAATAGATATATGTTTATTGTGTAATTTGTGAATAAATAGGTTTTTTTTTTTTTTGCATTTTTCTATTGTTTTAGGTTGTTAGTTTTAGAAAAAGTATATTGATTCTCTTCTTCCATATGCAAAAAAATGCATAGCACCTTGCATGGTGCCTAGCACATGAGCTGCTTAGTAAATGATAATTCTTTCTATGAAGAGCTTAAAGTAGTCTAGAAGTCAGTTTCTTCTGATGTTAAGAGGATGAGAACTATTTCTTAATCCTTTTCTTACCTGAAAGTGAGAAATGACTACTTCTGATATTATGGGCTTGGATCAGGTGCACTGTAGTCCTCAAGGTGACATCTTTACTATTTAACACTTTTAAAAGGTCTTTTGCAGCAGATTTGCCCAACGAAATACATCATTTGATTTCTTAATTGCCGCTTTCACAGGCATTGATTGTGGATCCAATTAAAATAAAATTCTTGTCAGTTTTAAGTATAAAAGCTGTGCTTACACCCCAAAAGAGACTAGGCCCAGGATGGGGTACAGCCTCTGTCGTTGTTAGGTGCTATGAAGACATTTCCAACTCATAGCTACTCTGTGTAAATGGAATAAAACACTGTCTGGTCCTGCACCATCCTCACAGTCATGGCCGTGTTTGAGCCCATTGTTGCAGCACTGTATCAATCCGTCTCATTGAGGGTCTTCCTCTCTTTCACTGACCCTCTATTTTACCAACCATCCTCACTTCTAAGGAACATTCTTCTGGCTGTACTTCTTCCATGCAGATTTGTTCATTCTTCTGGCAGTCCATGGTGTAGTCAATATTCTTTGCCAACACTGTAATTCAAAGACATCAATTTGAGTCTCACTTATTTATTGTCCAAATTTCACAGGCATATGAGGTGACTGAAAATACCATGGCTTGGATTAGGCACACCTTAGTAGTCTTCAAGGTGGCATCTTTATTTATTTATTTTTTTAATAGCGCAGTCTTTATTGGTGACGATGGTATATGAGAGAAGGGGGATAGATAGCGCCTGCTTCTGAGATGGTGTTCAGGGTCAGAGTCTAAGTCACAGCCCTCTGAAAGCACGTCTTTACTTTGTAACACTTTAAGAAGATAGCTGCAGCAGATTTTCCCCATGAGTACATCATTTGATGTCGTAATTGCTGCATCCTTGGGCATTGATTGTGGATCCAACTAAAATAAAATCCTTGACAACTTCAGTCTTCATGATACTGGTTAATGGTCCAGTTTTGAGGGTTTTTATTTGTGTTGAGGTGTAATTCATACTGCAGACTGTAATCTTTGATCTTCATCAGTAAGTGCTTCAAGTCATTCTCACTTTCACCAAACAAGGTTGTGTCATCTGCATATTGTAGGCTGTTAATGAGTTTCCTTCAGTCCTGATGCTGCATTCTTCATGTAGTCCAACTTCTGAGAATAACTGCTTAAATACAGATCGAATGAGTATGGTGAAAAGATAAAACCCTGACACACACCTTTCCTGATTTTCAACCACACAGTATCCCCATGTTCTGTTAATATGACTGCCTCCTGGTCTGTGTACAAGTTCCTCATGAGCACAACTAAGTGTTCTGGAATTCCCGTTCTTCAAAATGTTATCCAGAGCTTGTTAATGGTCCACACAGTTGGATGCATTTGCATAGTCAATAAAATACAAGTAAACATCTTACTAATAATCTCTGCCTTCAGCCAAGATCCATCTGACATCAGTAATGATATCCCTCATCCACATCCTTTTCTGACCTGGCATGAATTCTGCAGTTCACTGTCAATGTACCGCTGCAACCATTTTTGAATCATTTTCACCAAAACTTTACTTTTGTGTGATATTAATGATATTGTTAGATAACATTTCTGCATTCTGTTGGATCTCCCTTCTTTGGAATAGACACAAATAGGGATCTTATCTTGTCGATTGGCCAAGTAACTGTTTTCCAAATTTCTTGGCATAGGTGAGTGAGCACCTCCAGCACTGCATCTGTTTGTTGAAACATCTCAGTTGTTCTGTCAATTCCTGAAGCTCTTGTTTTTGCCAGTGCCTTCCATTCAGCTTGGACTTTCTTTCAGTACCAATGTTTCTTGATCATATGCTCTTTCCTGAAATGGCTGAAAATCTACCAGTTCTTTTTGGTACAGTGATTCTGTGTAGTCCTTCCATCTTCTAATGCTTCCTGCATCATTTATATTTTGTATGGCCACTAGTTTCTCTTAAAACCTATCATTTCCTCTGTATTCACAGTAATAGGCCAGGTTGGTCTTTTTCTCACCCAGGCATAGTGCATGTATGAAATAGTTGCAGGAGAAAGGAAATAGTTACGGAGAAGGAAGGCAGTTCATCTCTCCACATTCCAAAAGATGTTTAGCTAACACTCTTCTGCACATGATGAGAAAATGTATCCATTATTTTACAAAAATGTGAACAGTGATACACATTTACTAAGCTGGTTAACTGTAATAGATTCTTATAAATTAAAAAAAAAATTGATGTTCATGCTAGTGATATAATTGATGTTTAATATGCTTTCTGAAACAATAATAAACACTAAAATTGAGAATAATTGTTATTAATCTTCTTTGGAAATTATATGGTACAGAGATGTTCCCTAGTCAGAATATTACACATCCAGACTATGCCTACTAGAGAATTTGTCATATATTATTCTCTAGATCACAGGCTCTTAGATTACAGAGTAGATCTAAGTGTGCTAGCACATACTGTGTAACTATTAAGAAGAGTAGCATAGATCTGATGCCTTGAACACCAGTGACTGAAAACCAGAAGAACTGGGGATGACATCAAGAAGATCATCCATGAAGAAAGCAAGAGGTCACTAAAAATATGAGAAAAGAAGAGAAGACCAAAATGGATGACAGAAGAGACTAAAACTTGCCCTTGAATGGAAAGTAGCTAAAGCAAATGGAAGAAATGATGAGATAAAAGAATTGAACAGAAGATTTCAAAGAGCAGCTGGAGCAGACAAAGCCGATTACTATAATGAAATGTGCAGTTCAAAAATGGTTGCAGCAGTATATTGATGGAGAACTTCCAGAGG